AGAAAGCCGAGGCCCTGGCCGCTAAAGGCGCCGCCTAAAAGCACCGCCAGAAAGCCTACGAAACGCCGGTTGTCATCGATTTGTGGGATGACATTGTAGACCATGATAACATATATGGTGACAATCACCACGAAAGTGGGAATTTCAGCGATATTTTTAGCCAGGAAGTAGGAGCCGGTGCTGTACCAACCTACCAGTCCCCTCCGTGGGAATAGTGTTTTAGTACTATATGAAATACCGGTGCGATAGTGACATACCATTCATGCGTTCGTTCATAAAGATCTTGATCTCCGATGAGAACAAGAGGACCGTCGATATCGACATCAACGCCATGATCAATACGCCCACGAAGTACAGGTACCGGAGGTTCTGGGACAGTAGGTTCTCCTCCCGGAGCCCCTCCACGGTCTTCACGCAACTGGCGTTGGCGCTCAGGGCTAATGAGAAACACCCGTCCGTTTCGCCGACGTGTTTGTTGTACAGACGGGTCACTAGGAAACCCATTGTCTGTATGAATAGGAACTGCGCGAACATGGCTTTCCATTGGGACCGGAGCTGACAGGTCATCGTCCGGCCCAATAGATACCACATTTGCCGCAACTGAAAGGCGTTCCCCTTGTTGACGACCCCATTGGGCGCCAGGTGGCCCTCCTCGAGGCACCGGAGCCTCAGCTCACTCCTGGCTTTCATGGACTGGTGGGACAGCCTCTGGAGACTTGCACCGTATTTGGAGGCTATTCTCAGCAGCACTTCAATGGGCACCTGGTGTTCATTACACTCAAACTGAGCCGCGCTTAGGTGGGCGCGCACCTCCTGAGGGGGCCCGGAGTACACGCATAGGCCTCCCTTAGCCAACACATACACCCCATCGAAAAGCATGAGAGTGTCGTTGTTTGGCTGATGGATACTCGTGACGATCGCGATCTCGTGCTGCCGGGCGACGCTTTTCAGCACCTGTACTACCTGTCCATTGAGATGATAGGCTATAGTCAACAATCATAAGGAAAGGCGTGTTTTATTTTTAACTCACAATTTCGGCGGCATTGCTGTCCAGACCGCTCGTGGGCTCGTCTATACACATGAGGTTAGGCTTCCTGAGGGCCATGAGCTCCTGGGCAATGGCCAGCCGTTTCTGCTCACCGCCCGAACAGTTCTCCATATTTGTACCCTCGGTGTCGCCTATCGAGAGGTCGGACAGCAGTTTTCGGGCGTACTTCCGGTGATTCACCTCCTGGTGCTCTCTGACATTCTTCAGCTTCGAGGCATACGTGAGGGACTGGATGCCAGTCAACCCGACCCACAGATGCTCCGAGATGTCCTGCACTATAAAACAGGAACGGATTTTTTTCGCTGAGCTCAGGTAGACTTTGGTGCCCGAGTCTAAGCCCTCCATATTTCGGCCGTTAATACACTTTAATAGAGTAGACTTTCCGCACCCGGAGGGCCCCATAAGGGCGGTTAGGCTCCCGAAGTCGACCGATCCGCTGAT